AAAACTCTCCTCCATTCAGTGCAGTGAGTCACAAGTTTCAATTTTTTGTTCTCAGTATGACTTGCTATGATTACACATTGAACTGATACCCATTGCTTAGATTAATTCTGTTTGTTTGTGTTTTTTTTTAATTTTTATCTCCAGTTTGTCATGTGATAAAACAAGGTCGCTGCACTTTGGTGACGACACTCCAGATGTTTAAGATTCTTGCTCTCAATGCATTAGTGCTGGCCTACAGTCAGTCTGTCCTCTACCTCGAAGGAGTAAAATTCAGCGATTTTCAGGCAACTCTGCAAGGCTTGCTTCTGGCTGGATGCTTTCTCTTTATATCTAGATCAAAGGTAAGACTTACAGTGTAAATGTTTCAGGTCTCTTCATTTCCACCACTTTTATGTTTCTTATGAAAAGACCAATGAGGATTCTCCTCTTTTTGCAGCCTCTGAAAACATTGTCTCGAGAGCGGCCTTTACCAAACATCTTCAATCTGTATACAGTGTTGACTGTGCTGCTGCAGTTTGCTGTTCACTTCTGTAGTCTTGTGTACCTTTATAAGGAGGCACAAAGCAGAAGTCCACCAAGGTAAGCAAAAGTAAAACTAGAGGGTGGTAGAGTACCCAAAATTAGTACTTAAGTAAAAGTAGCACTACTTCATCATATTTTTAATCAAGTAAAATCAAAAAGTAGCCTTTAAAGAAATTACTCAAGAGTAAAAAAGTATTTGGTAAAAAGGCTGTTCAAGTACGGAGTAGCTGCTCATACCATCTGATTTATTATTTTACACAATGATGTAAAAGTGTTTCAAAGAATAAGATAGAAATAAACATAAAATATTAAAAAATAAAATTAATTACACAATAAAAAAATCAGGTGTAATGAATACGCTTCAAAACATATTTTTTGAGTTACAAATATATTTTACAGTATGTAGATTAGGTAAAGGTACAGTGTACTGTTTAATGTATTTTCACTCAACCTCCAAATGACACTACAGACTCAGGAGATGGAAAATAACATTTAACCAATACACCAATAAGTAAAAGTAAAAAGCACAACACTGTATATCTGCTCCTAAAAGTACTTCTTATTTTTGAAAAAGTTAATCAAGTAAGTGTAACAGGGTAAATCTAACTAGTTAGTACCCCCCTCTGAGTACAGCAGAGTAGTGCAAAAATCTGCTTGTGTAGACCATGAATAAAAACAGCATGACAGAAATGTGTAATTTTCACAACTGCTATCTAGACATTTGTAAATTCAAATGAACAAAATATATTATTTACCAGAATGAATGGGATATATACATTTTAAACATATTTACTTGTTTTTGAATTCACTCCTACACTTCCTTAATTTCATCTTTATCATGCTAAAACTATCGATGAACAAACCCTTTTTTTCTTATTTATAATTATTATAAAAATATTATCTTTGTCATGCTCATGGTACATTACAAGGAGCCATTCTTTAGGGATGATGATTTGATTTTAAATTGGAAACAAATAAAAGGTTATCAGTTTTTCCTACTAACCTTTTTGAATGTGCTAATTTTTTGTTTTGTTTGTTTTATTACAGAGAGGAGCAGTTTGTTGATCTGTATAAAGAATTTGAGCCCAGTCTGATTAACAGCACTGTGTACATAATGTCAATGGCCATGCAGATGGCCACCTTTGCCATAAACTACAAGGTACATGTTCCTGGTGTTACTATTTATGGCTATGTTTTTTTTTTTTTTTTTGTATGTATGTAAAATCAAAATTTGTACCTTGTATTGTATATATAATGGATTCCTCTTTATGTCCAATAGGGTCACCCTTTCATGGAATCTCTCAGTGAAAATCGACCGCTACTGTGGAGTATTGCAATTTCGGGTTTAGCAATTGTAGGACTTCTTACAGGTTCTTCTCCAGAATTCAATGAACAGTTTGCTCTCGTGGATATCCCAACTGAGGTGAGCTAACACTATTTGAACCATTTTTTTGGTTTTGGCACATTGTAATAAAACAAAGCTGATGAGATTGTGTAACATGTTCTATAAACTTCCTTGCAGTTCAAATTAATAATCGCCCAGGTTCTGGTGGTGGACTTTGTGGCTGCTCTGCTTGTGGACCGTGTCCTCCAGTTCTTCCTGGGCAAAGGAAATCTCAGGCTGCCTTTATGAACTCAGTGCCAACAGCAAATGCTGCCCTTAAAACCAAACTGTAAAGGGACAGAAGACTTTTGAAGAGGAAGGAAAATACAGCTGTGATTCCAAACACAAAACAACTGAGATGGTCATGGCGTATAGGACTGTTCATTCTGTTTAACCCTTTCTTTGTCCTACTCTGCCCCTCCTAAACTCTTTGGGTCTTTCTTTTCATTGCTATGTTTTAATTATCTTTTTTTTTATATATAACTTTCAATTTTTCTACATATGTCCTTTGTGTTTTTTCCCTCTCCACTCTTTTGAAAGGCCATGAAGACAGCAGTATTGTGTGGAGTTTCAGATTGTGCCAGCCAGAGAGAAACCTACAGGCACAAAAAAGGGCATTCTCTAAGAGAATTGCAATAGTGTTTTGGATTTTTTTCCCTTCCTTGTTTTTGTAAAAAGTTAAGACGTTTAACAGACTTATAAAGATTTAAACTTACAAATTTTTTTATTTAGTCTTTTTGTGTGTTTTTATTGTAGTGAGAGAATGCATGCATGTCTTCTTAGTAACAACCATTCCTTTTACTGAATCAGCAAGTTTAGGATGACTCGAATATAAGAGTACAATGTAAATGCACGTGGAAACATCAATATATATCAAAGGGTCTATATCATGGAATTCACCATTCGTACCAAAAATGAAAGCACTATTCATTTAAGGATGAGTAATCTAGTAATCTTAGAGTAATCTAAGATACGCAACCTTTAAGAAAATTTGCTGTATTTGCCAAATGAAGAAAACATTCAGCACAGATCTCAAATGTTCTGCAACAGAGGGCCTGTAACATCATGTTTCCATGCTTTATAAAAAACATTAAATGATTGTGTGCAAAGTGGGACAGATTTACATAAATAGAATTATAAATAAAATAGAATTTGAATTCGAAACAGTTAGCAGAATAGAATAATAATGAGGGGGATTCTAATGCGCTCGTTTAGTCTATACCCCTAGACTTAATACAAACAATATATCAATCCTTTTAGAGGCATCTTTTAAGTTCAGAGAGAAAATTCAGCTAAGAAGTTTAATAATATCCCAAAATGAAACGGAATCAGAGTGAATTTCTCAGGGAATGAGAAGTGATGGCATCTGCCAGCACAGATGAAAACTAATGGAAATGATGAAAAACTGCTGTGTTGAACGTAATAATACTTACATCCAATACTTATGTAATAATACGTATTATACTTACGTCCAATATAAAACCATAGTTTTAGATTGGTCTATGTTTAGAAGCCTATATGGCAAGACAAATGAATCTGCAAAGTAAATATCTAAATCTGGAACGATAGGGTAATAGTTCCACAACACAGGTTTGACATAGAAGCATAAAACAATCAAAAAAATAAAACATGCTGAAGGCAGGATCATGCTATGGATTTTCTTTCATTCAAAAACAATTTTTTGTGTGTTTTATATAAGCTGAATTACACTATGAACAGTTTTAAATATCAGTTCAGATTTAAAACTGGGGTGTGCTTGAAAGATAAATGCAGGTGTCATTTTTTAGCATTACTATGAATTTACCTGTATGCATATCAAGAAGAATGGCCTTGCTAGATGCAAAACAATGGAACCTTATTCACTGTAGAACAGGGAAATTCTAACAATCGGATGCCGAATTTTTTTAAAGATAAAATATAATATTGGAAAGGGAAGGTGTGGTATGCTAATGTTGGGAATAATCTTTTGTTAAAAAAAACAACTAAAATACATGCATACTTATCCATTATGAGTTTTCTCTACCCTAGTATCATTTATAAATTCTAATGTTTTATTTCTATTTAATCTCCATCCTCTTAGCTGCAGCAGAGAACCCTTTTGGCAAGATAAAAATAATGTCAAAAGGTTAGGAGCAAAGAATGAGAAGCTATGGGGAAGCCTATATAATTATAAGCTATAGATATCAGTTATTATTCTAAAGGGCAGAAATCATTAAACCTGTTTACCATGATATTCAAGAGTAAGCAGACAACTTACAAAGTAGGGTTGGACACCACCCTATCAGATAGACCAGGACTATGTATCACATGTGCTTTACTTATGTACTTATACCACTGAGGGATAAGAAATCCCCAGGATTGTATTTTTACAGCTCATTTTTCATTCTGACACAAGTGGCGACTTTCAGACAACAAGGCCAGGGCTGTAGCTATTTCTGTTAAACTTATGGTTAATCATGTTAAAGTCCTTTTAGTGACTCATTTAGTATAAGATAAAGTTTTATTGAAGGTAAAGTATTTATTTTGAATGCAAAAGAACTGTGAATAAGCTCTGAGGCATAATCGCGTTAATGGGGCAACAGCCTTTCTGACAAATCAAGCTGAATGCTCAGAGAGAATCCATAGTAGCTTCCAAAATATTAGCTTGGTATCAAATACATTTTTATACCAAAAGTGAATGTGGAAAATTCTTTATAATTGTTATGAAGAATTTAAATTTTTGACAACACAAATGAGTTTACAGTTAATACAAATTATTCTTAAATTTCCATAAATGGTCTCTAGATTATCTTTGTTTATATAGTAAATAATGAAAGTTTATTTCTATAGCATCTTTTACAGAAAATAAAAAGTCACAAAGTGTTTTACAATGAAAACACTAAAATACTGACAGGTATTAATGCAGCTGAGGCCCTTGTGACCACTACGGTACAGGTCTAGCGTCCCTAGTGGCCAAAATCTAAATGTAAATAAAATCAATATTATGGTCATAAAACAATCCTCTCACTATGTTAATATACTGGATCAATTCAAGATTTAACAGATTGACGTTTTGGGATAGTCCTTTCTTTCTTAACTACATTTCCCATAATTCTTAGTAAAAGGGGTTTGGTCTGTTGGGCGCGCGGTGAAGATACCTATTTGAAATTAAAATGGCGGAAAATGAGACTGGAGTTGAAAACGGGTCTGTTTATGTTTTGTTTTAGATTCTCTACTATACTTATTAACTTTAAGGTCCCATGAATTGTTAATGTTGTGGATAATTCTAAGCGAACTGTTTTGTTGTCATGTTTTGATGAGAATTTTCGGAAGTTTTGTTTCAGTAAAAATGTAATCGATATGTTTTTTTTCCTGTTTACTTATTAAGCCTTAGCCGTATTTGTGTAGACGAGACTTCAGTTCAGGTAAGAAATAGAAACACGTTGAACTGCTGTATTTTATAGCTGCTAATTTGTTGATTGGAAATTAACTGCCATCTTTTCGATGCCCCTCCAAGGCATCGAAAAGATGTTCCTCCTCAGTCCCAGACTCAGTCCCTTTACTCAAATCACCTCGGATCGAGTCTCCATCAAAAACAACACAGATGGCAGATCCGAGAGAGGAACAGTCAGAGCTGAATAAGCAAGAAATGGAGACGGACATCACAGAGAGACCATCTCAACCAAACAAATCATTTAGGAGAGCCACTATAACCCGACGCTCACTCCCTGCCCTTCCTAACCCATATGAAGGTGAGAGACCTTTATCCTAAACCATTTGTTTTCGCAATTTTGGAATATTTATGTTTAGTATTTTTATAGGGCTTATAATAACCTTCATGAATCTGTCCTAGCTTTGTGCAGAAGCATTAGTCCATCATTATCACAAGAAGAGAGACTGGAAAAGCTGTTGGAGGCATCAATGGAGGTATGTTCAATGAAGCTAAGGAAACCAAAAGCACTCTGTTATTTTAAAAGTTGCGCAGTCTGTAGCATTTGTGCAGCAAGAAGGTCCTGGGTTCAGTATTTCTGCATGAACTTTAGTGCATACGTGTTTGTGTTCTCTCTGGTACTCCTACTTCCTCCCACAGTCTGGAAGTCTATGGCTGTGTCCAAATGTGCACTGTAATCCCATTAGAGAGCACTACATAGGAGTTATGCCATTTTATATGAGTGTCTGAATGACTAGTGAATGGAAAAGTAGTGGACTCAAAATTTCCCAAAATGCACCTTGAAAAATAGTGAACATCAATGTTCACTTGACAGGCAGATGTATCTATCACAGAATGGTTTGCAAGGGCTCCCCTCGAAAAGCATCCTGGAATGTGTTATGGGTACAAGAGAGGACAAAGATGGTGCAAGCAACCATGTGAAAAGTTACATCACCAACGGGAAGCAAAAAGTAGTGGTCATCTGTCCGAACAGTCATTTAACTGAATTTACTATAAAGTCCACTATACAGTCCCCGCTCTATGTAGAGAGCGATGGGTTAGGGCGGATGTCGGATACAGCCTCTTAGACCCTGACAGACATTCATTTGAAGATGAATTGATGGATGTTATTTATTTAGTCCTATCAACTATTAAAAGATTAAGTGAAAATTTGGAAACATTGTGACATATATAGGGATAACAATGTAGTGTTAGTATTTTGTCAAAATAATTGGATATAGTCCTTTCATAAATAAAAAATGTTATCCACATTAATGAAGACCTGCCACAGTATTAGATTAACAAAATGGAGGTTAACAGTTGTAATTCTGACATTTCTGAAAATAGGTTAAAAGATGATTTCGTGTGTATGGGTATGTGTGTTTCTTACACCTTGGGGACCATTTTCCTTAAATCATAGCACATCGTGGGCACCAGGTACTCTTGTGGGACCGATGTCTGGTCTCCATTGGTACAAAGCTGTTTTAAACCTACGGTAGGTGTTAGATTGAAAACTAAGGTGTGAATTGAGTTTAGGTCGTGGTTGGGACTAAGTAGGAACCCTGTAATGGTTAGGTTTTGGGTAAGGGTCATGGTTAGACTGTAGAAATGACTTAGAAATTAATGGAGGCAATGTAAAGTCCCAGGAAGGATAGGGAAACATTATTGTGTGTGTGGTCTTGTTTAATCTAGAATGTGGGGGAGTGTTTGGTAGAATATCCTATATTATGAGGACTTAAAGGTACCTATGGGGACATTAATGCGGTCCCCTTATGGTAAAGTTCTCATCTTTTCTTTGAGTTTGGCTTATATTTAGGACTAAGGTGTGAATTCAGTTTAGTTTAGGTTAGGTATATATTGGTAATGGTTAGGGTAAGGGTCTGGGTTAGGCTATATGTCATGCAAACAAAGCTGTGTGTTTTTTTTTTTTGTTTTTGTTTTTTTTTTCTGAACATTGCATACCTCATTGTGCATAAAGTGTTAGATTCAATGTTTTTTTTTATTAATTCACAAATATTTGTTGTTTAGATGGCACTTGAAAGGACCAAGACTTCACTTGAGTCTATGCCAAATGCTTCACTCGAGTCCTTTAAAAAACAAGGTGAGCTTTTTTTTTTGAGTACGTTAAAGCTTTACATTTTTAATCACTCGTTTACATAATCCTTTGTCTTAATCTGGCTTTTTTTCTCTTTATGTAGTTGAAAAAATCAAAAATGAGTGGAGCTGCTTGACTAAAAATATGAACAAGGAAACGCATCAACCCCCTTCAAGTCAATCCAGGTGTGCAAAATTTTTTCAATGTATTTTAATTTTGATATGAATTCTGATGATTTAGTCTGTTTTTCTTTTTTTTTTTATTTTGTAGTCAACCAGCCATGCAAGAAACCATGGAAAATATCCAGAAAGCAATCAGCAGGCAGGTTATTTTGTCTCTGCCCTTATACACTATAATATTTATTTTTGAGTCACATGGTATTATGGATTGGTTAACAGCCTTTTGCTTTTTCTTAGGCTCAAGGCTGAAAGTGACTCTTGGGAGGATCTTCTCAACAAACACAGGAGTAAAGCAGAGGAACTGGAAAAGTAAACATTTTTATTCTTACTAAGCTGTCCCATTAAAATGATCTCCATTATGTGCCAATCATATGATGACATCCATTACAGGAAGGTGAAGATGGGACAAGAGGCGGGAATATCACTAAACCCAACATCTATTGTCCAGTCGTCGCAGTACCATGTCATACAGAGTAAACCCAACTACCGCAGTGTCCTATGTAGGCAACAACGCATGATGCATTCAACAGCCATGATTGTAGGTTGCACTTTTTTATTTGTTTATTACAGAAATCTTAAAAAAGTTACTGTGATAGCAGGTTTTTTTGCCCTAAGCTTTGAATTCAGTGGCATCATAAAAAGGCATTCAATAGTGTATTTGAACTGTTTGCTCCCCGGACAGAACAAAAGCATATAGACTCACCAGACGATACTTGGGTAGGCTGTGGCATTTCAAAGATATGCCAAGGAAATATGTCCTGCACCATTACAAAGTGACTAGAACCTCGATCTGTTAGTACAATGAAGGATGGATCAATAGTTTTGTGTTCTCAGGGCCATATTCTGACCACAGCAAGTGATTCTTTACAAGAAACAACAGCTCATTGGACATGGTTGCCTTTAATGATTCTGTGCTTATTGTTGCCCTGTTTAACTGTTCTTGGCTGACACCAGTAGCACATGTGGTCCTCTGTTGCTGTAGCCTGTACTCCTTAAGGTTAGATTGCAATCAGATGAATTCTTATCCATGTCTCTGTCATGGCAAGTGGGTATTTGACAGAGGTGTCAAGTAACAAAGTACAATTACTTTGTTACTTAAAGGAACAGTACACCCAAAACATGATTAGCCTTCATTTTCTACTCACCCCCATGCTGAACAACACCCTGGAGTACTTTTTTGATATCTCAAATGCATCTGGAGATCTGGGAGGCTTCTTGCTGTCTGCTGACATTCAAATAATGGAGGTCTATGGTGCCCGAGACAGAAAGGTCCATAAAAGTCCACAAAAAACGTGTCAATATTCCTCCATACTGCTCGTCCAATGTATTCCAAGTATCCTGAGTGGGTAGCGTCCATAATTTACTCGAAACGAAGTCATTTAGAATGTTTTTAGAGCATAAACAGTAGTGTATAGGATTTCCAGCAAGAAGCCTCCCAGATCTCCAGATGCATTTGAGATATCAAAAAAGCACTCCAGGGTGTTGTTCAGCATGGGGGTGAGTAGAAAATGAAGGCTAATCATGTTTTGGGTGTACTATTCCTTTAAGTAGAAATCTTGGCTGTCTATACTTTACTGGAGTATTTATTTTATAGACAACTTTTTACTTCTACTCCTTATATATATATTTTTTTTATTATCTCTACTTTCTACTCCTTACATTTTAAAAATAGACTTGTGTGTTTTGTTTCATGTAAGCTCATTTTGGTTATGGTCTGTTAGTACCGTATTAAAAAAAAAAAAATAAACATAAAAATAATTTGTTTTATTCAGACACATTTTTTTTGTGGTTGGACTTGGTACTGTACTTAATTGTTCACCACATACCCAAATTTTTTCAAGATAATGCAAACTTAAACTTGACACTGTTATCATTAAGTATAAAACTAAGAAAATTTTGTATAAGGAAGGTGTCATCCATAAAATGTTCCTTTAATAGGGTAGTGCAATAACCAGTATAAGATTTTAATTTTCCTGCGTTACGTTTATACTTTAAGTAGTTTTAAAAATTGTACTTTTACTTGAGTAAAAAGCTTAAGTTAATACTCTAAATTCTACAATAGTGTTTTCAAACAGTAGGATTTATACTTCTACTGGAGTAATAAACTTTACTACTTTTGACACCTCTGGTATTTGAGGAAGGCTTATAAGTCAGACCATTCTTCTGACATCAACAAGGAATTTCCTTCTACACTGCTGCTACTCACTGGATGTATTTTCTTTTTGCACAGTTCACTGCTGAAATGGTTCACTGTGAAATTCCCAGCAAACTAGCAAGATAAGAAATACAGAGACTGGTCCGTCTGGCACAAAAAAAACATACTATTCCAGTCAACAAAATCCCATTTCTCTCTCCCTGTTGATGCTAAGTGGGAACTGCAGCAAATTAACTTTGATTAGTATTAGTGTGAGTGTATCCTTTACGAGGAAAAATGTGTTTCAAGCTTTTAAGGTCGTAATTACAATCCGAGCATTGAAGTGTGATGATTAAATTGATCTTTATGTTAATATAAATGTTAATATAAGAAAATGTATCAAAAGCAGAACTATGCATCTATTTGGGAGCTGAACACTGGTGACTCTGAAAAGAAAAAAAATGTATAGTGCCACTGACCTATAAGCTACCAAACCAATAAAGAAGATGCATAACCAAATGTTTGTTCTGACTAAGGATTACATCACATATATTTGAAAACCACATAAACATTCTGTCCTCAATAGATGTTTCTGTGTGACTAAATTTATAGTCAAACAATAACTTATCAAAAGATTTTTCTTTTTTATTTAGTTTTTCGTTTATTTTTTAAGTAGAACCATTCATTGTATTTTTTAAAGTCAAAGTACATGGATGGCAAAGGGAAATGGCAATTATTCAGGGGGATTTTTTGGAAGTCTAGGGATAAGAGCTCCACTTATAAATGCTTTTACAAATATTTAAATGCTCTTACAACAACTGTAATTTTTCATCTTCTGTAAGGATTAAAAGATTTTTTTTTTTTCTTCTTTGACATTTTTTTCCTCCTTGTCTCTAGATGGACACTCAGTGTAAAATGATAAGGCAGCTACTTGCCATCAAGGAGCAATCCCAGCTGTTGGTAAAACATACCAGTGGCCAATTGGGTAAAGCTTTTCCATTGTTCTTTTCTATGTAAAACTTTTTGTGACGACATAATGAGAAAAAAAATGTATACTGATTACCTTTGTTTCTATGCTCCCTCTAGCTGAGGAGGCGGGAATCCATGACCTTTCATCAAACCTTCTTATAAATCTGATGACGACACCTTCACAAAAGGCAACTGCATATTCCAACTCCTCAAAAGACGATGCTTCTAAGCAACTGAATTAAAACAAAAAAGAAAATGTTTAGACCTTTACATCTTTTTTCTTGTAAAGTTTTTAAGGAAAGAAAGCTGCAAATGTTATTCTTCCTCATACTGGACTGCCAGACAGTTCAAATTATACATGTATTTGACCAGCAGGTGGCAGTAGCTGACTATTGTCAAAATTATGTTAAAAGGTGGCAAATGGCCTGAGTGGATTATTATTTGGCCCTTAATTAATTGCATTAGCGTCTTCAAATCCTAGTAGGGCTTGGACCAATAGCTAATGATTAACAAATTGAGCCCAAATTTTGACATTCTGGAAAGTGAAGTCATTTCAGTGTATGTATTAAACTTGAGTGAAAAGCAGTCACCTTGAATAAAAGTGATTACCAGACTAAGGTAATAGATATGATCAATTGCATGTCTGCTGTATATATTGTATTTTTTAGACAATGTGAGGCATTAAATATATTTGACACTGTAGCCCATGTAAAATAAATATCAAAACAAAATAAACTGAAAGGTAAACCCCTGAAAGTGAACATGGAGGGGGTTAGTTGAAATGCAAAGAAGTTTCTTATTTAGGGAAATCTTTTGACTATATCTTGGTCAAATTGTTTGAAGTTTAAACAAAAACAAAGCTTTTACTTTGTTCACAGCATTTAGTTTACACCAGCCCTTGAGAATCAGCCGCTATCACGTTTACTCCTGTGTGGTGCCGCATCTATTGCACTTCACCAGTGTCCCCTGACCATACAGAAGAAGGCCCCTCCCCCACGGTGACTCACCCCCATCTCCTGCTTGGCTTGGTCACTGATGCAGAACGAAGCTTTGACATTGTACCAGTCAGTCAAGGCTTCATTTGCCATCTCCAAAATCTCTTGGACCCATTCATCAATTAACACATCTGCTCAATTTGTGACTCTTGACTGTGCAATAGGAAATCCTTTTTTTTTTTCCACACACCATATAAGTCTATAACTTTGCACTGGAGTTACAGTCCCTAGGGCGGTTTGTGGTGGATTTTCTTTGTGGCTTTATCCAGGGGAGTGATTGCAGAGCATACAGACAAGCAAAGAAAATGTGGTGCTGTGACCATGAGTTGCTAGTAAGGGAAGATGGTGCACAGCAGGATAGATCGATTCTTATTTAGATGAAAATGAGGCTTGATGCTTGTGGGGTGAGAGGAGGGCAGCTTTAGCATCCAAATGAGTAAAGGTTTCACAGAATTTCTCTTTAAGTGAATCACCTACAAGAAAAGAAAGTTGACTAAGTTGCTTTTGAGTTAATAAAGGGTTGACAAAACATACCTTTAAGCTGATTCTCAGCATAAAAAATATATTAGTTAATCTATAATTTTTTTTTTTTTTTAGAGGTTCAGATGGAAAAAAAAAGATAAAATGGGAGAAATGTCATGTAGTTTGGACATTAAGCGTCTTGTTTAAATTGTCCAGAGTATATTCATTATAAACTGAAACATGACTTTAAACAACAGAGGGCCTGATTTCTTAGAAGCACATGCAAAGACCAACTGTTTGCTATTTTGTTGTCTCTAACTTTAGATTGATTAGTTACAGATTGTAGTAGATGGATAGCAGGAGAGTCAGCATAAACCATTGCCAGTTTAGTCCTACTCCCCCATGCACACCCATCATCTCCTTTCACTTTAGCAGGGCTTGCTGCTGCTCTCCTCCACATCCATTCAGTCCGCCATTCGTCTCAGAAAGCTGTCTCTGTGATCTGAGTGATAAACAACATCAGAATTGCCCAGTTTGCAAAAAGCAAGGACACTTGTTTTCAATCCGCTGTCAACGTTTTCATCCTGAAAACTGATGGGATGTTTCATTCATCAGGGGTATGGGAGAGTATCCGGAACTGTTTTTGCTTGGGGGACCAAACACTTGAGGAAATTGGCACAGTTTGCACTCATGAATGCCAGTGACTTTGCAAAATATGCAGTTTTTTTTTTGCACCTAAGTTTATATGGTGTTTATACACTTTTATCATAAACATTTCTTGGTTTGAGAGCTGTAAAAAACATACTTGTGTATTTATTTGCTTGCTCAATGATAAATATTTGCCTGGAAATGATTATATGTAACAAACGAATGTTAATAGACATCCTAAAAGGGGATTTACAAAATAGTCAAAATGTTTGTTATTGCACATTTACATTAAAGTAGCAGTTTTGCTTAACAAGTATATTTTGCAGTGTCCCCCAATCTTAAATAAATGCCTAATATATGCATATGCAGTTGCAAATATTTCAAATTTTTTTCTTTTTTTTTTTTGTATTAGATGCTCTCATTTAGTAGTTTTTCATTTACCCACCCACAGGATCGCGCTCTGTGCTGTGAGTTTTAATGGTCAAAGCGACGCACAGCACTCCTCTGAAGAACATCCCACACACTCACCAACAACAATGGCAATCCGTTGCCTGTTTTGGTAACACATTTCCTATAGGAGCACCAAGGGTTTGAAGCTGTGTTCATTCCTGATATACCTCCCTAAATTGCCGCGCTAATTCTAAGTACCTGTGTGTTCGTTTGTGACTACATTTTCGCTGTATTTTTTTTTTTTTTTTTCCATACCGAAAATGTGCAAGGCGCTCACACGGGCTGTGCATGTGTGTCCCTGCTGCTTTTCTGCTGGGCTACTGCTGCTAACCTAGCTGCTTCTTTTTTTTTTTACACGGTGGTTAGCCTCCGTTAGCCCCGGCCGCGTTTACTAACTGGTAAAAGAAACTAAAGATACAGACGAATGTAAAGCTTGTTCGCGCTGTTTGGTTGACTAAAAACAGCACCAAACTAATCGCCCGTTGTCGCTCTCGGGTAAGGAAATAAGTGTTGTATGATTTGTCGTGGAAGACACTTTGCTGGCTAGCTAATAGGCTAGCTGTTTGATTGTGTTCGTCGACCGAGGAAAACGGCGAGTTTTCTTTGAGAGTATGGATGATCAGACCAGGATGCTGACGGGTCTCACCGGACTCGGTGGACTACCGCAGCCCGATGTCGGTGATCCGGACTCGGTCCGGAAACAACAGTCCCTCGGTCAGCCGCAGCAAGACATTGGGGATATTCTACAGCAAATAATGGCCATCACCGACGAAAGCCTGGACGAAGCACAGGCCAGGTAAGACTAGAGAAGAGCCATTTCCCAAACACGATGGCTAAGCTAAAGTCTTATTATTATTTTTTTGTCTGATTCAAAAATAACTTGTCGTTTTATTGTTGGAGTAATGAAAATTTACATTTACACCAAGAATAACCAAGTGAATGTACATTTTGTGCCTGCATGGAGAATATCCCGAGTCCACTATAGATTATGGGCATTAATAAAAAATAATAATCTAAAAAAATCTTGCAAAAAAACAAACAAACTGCACTTTAAATACCTTCATATATAATAATACCCTCTTGATTACTGCTCCATCCTAATTGGTTTACCAGCGAAGTTTAAGATAAAAAAAAAAAAAGAAAAGCCTTTTTATAATGCGTTTAGAGGGTGTGGGAGAAAGATGCACCACGAAACTTAAATCTCATACTTTTATGTAGTGCTCATTTACCACAGTAGAAAGAAAAAGTGAATTTAAAAGTTGTAAAAACTTTTTTTCATACTGTGCTTTGCTTTGGACCAAATCCAAACTACTTAGAAACTCAAGATGTTTAGATACTGTTATGGAAAAATAAGTCCTATAATAAATAATGTTTATAGTAAGAGTCCAGATGGTCAATTTAAAAATAGTTAATACGCAAAAAATGGACATTAAGGTCTAAAATTGTGTTTATTACTCTAGGAGTAAATGTGTAAATTGAGAAAACAAAGTTAAGGTTGAGGATCACTCATCCAAGTAGTGTCTGATGTGTCAGCATGTATGACTCTTCAATTAATGTTTATATTAGAAGTATTGTTTCTCTCCTTACTGACAGCAAGCCTCCACTGAGTGACTAGACTCACTCATTTGCCATGTGGCTCAATGAGCATAAGGTCAGTTTCAAATGAAGCGTCAGTATTTCAACAATAGACAACCGTCCACTGCAAGACTGTGGCCACAGTGTGATGTGTCATTAGCTAGTGATTTTCCACCCAACATTTGACCACCTGGTTCTCTTAATTAATTCACTCCTTTCACTCCCTCCCTCGCTGGTGTTCATCCTTTTCATTGTGTGCTGGGTGCAATCAATTCTCCTATAATGTGTACGCGAGTGCAGCTGTCCGCAAATCGAGTTTCTATTAATGAGATGGTGGTGAGGGGGAGGAATGATGCTATACTGGCAGCCTATGAATGTTGAGATATTACATTTTCTTGACTTAATACTTTGGAGTCTTCATCACACCTCATGGCACAATTAATTTGGCTTGAAAATGTGTTTTGCTTATGTTTCATTTGTTATATTTCAGCCAGTAGAAAGTATTTGAACCACTGTGAAATAATTTTGGATATTTTGAACATGTTTGTAAGTTATAAAAAACTGTTGGCAACAACTTAAGTAAATCTGGATCTACTTTATATATATTCTAACAGTGTACTTGATGATTAAATAAAAACTTAAAAGGGCTCTTGTCATGTTGTGCATTGGTTTGACTTGTACTATTTACATGTCATGTTTTTCTGAAAAAAATTCCAAAACAAACTTTCACAGATGGAAGTCTCAATAGACTAAGTGGTACCACTTACATTTTGAAGTCTTTATCACCACTGTATGCCAATTATTTTCTTGGTCACAATAATCTGCACTTTTTCTTATGGCTGCATGACATCCCTGTCATGTAGTGTGGCTTTCTGTTGGCATAGGGAGTGGTCAGGGTAGAACAAGAAGTTGGTGTTGCAGAGTAGCCTTCCTGCGCACCATCCACCCTCATCCTCTCACCGTGTCACCATATGCTCAGATCCTGGCCAGAGGAATCGCCAGCGCATTGGGGTGGATCAGACGACCCCACAGAGGGAGGGAGAGCAGGGGGGGGCATGGCAGGGGGTGGACTGCCACTCAACTTCCAGCACAGGTCAGTACTGGACCGCATGCACACCTTTTTATCCCCCCCTCCTGCTCATACCCTCCATGGCGAAGACAGCCCTCCCCCCCATCTCAAATTGAGCAGTGACTTATTTAGTGGAGGAAGATGACATTTAGTTCTAGTCAAATTGTTATATATTTTTTCCTCAAACCGCTTGCAGAAAGTGATTCCTTTGGACTGGGTCTTTTGGCCGTATTATTTACCTCTCCTCGATTTAACATCAAAGTGGACATTCACAACAGAAATTGCTGTTGTGGTTAGTCCAGGTATTGCCACATTCCATTCATCATATGTTGTTTTGAGTTAGCTCTCTGTGACTCATGCTATTTCAAATGGATTTCATTTCATTTTTTTTTTTTTTTTGCAGCATTTCCTCTTTTTTTCCCTTTTGCATGGTTGATGTTTAATACGTGCATAACCTACTATGTTCACTTTGTGTTTTTTACCTAAAGTGCAATTACTGTTTGTTTTTTTTTCTAGAAATATTAATTCCTCATATTTAAAAGCAGAAAGGCTGAGCAATACAAAAACGGACATGAGCTATATTTTTTTTAAAGAAATCCCAAAGGATTAGGCCACCCTGGACCTATCTGTCACCTCATTTTTCAGGCCCTTCACTCGACCACCCTATTCAGATCTCTGCTCTTTAAACCAGTTTAAATTGAAAATGTATAAATCTAATTTAATACAGTTTGATGAGAGCAATATTGCATGGGATTAGATTTTTTTGTCTCACAATTAAGAATTAATTCTATACATCACATATGGATACACCAGTTTCGTAGAGCTGCTCCAGCATAAGAGTACATCAAGAGGACTGTTTTTGAAAGCCACAGCAAAAATGTTATTCCTTTTATAATCACTATGAATTAAAATTGAAGTATAGCACCATTTGCCAAAAGCCTTTAAATAAACTTCTGTGGTGAATATAATGAGCTCTGATTCCACTTTGTTGCAGGTTTCTAACGGTAAGCTTTTTTTTTGTATGTTTTGTTTTTTAAACCCCACTTTCATCAGCTAAACTATGCATAGCGTTAAAATAATCCTGGATCCTTCTCCAGAGGTTACAGTCTGGATAAACTTTTTGATTATCTTCAGGAGAAAGTTTGGGAAGTAAGATTTTTAGATTACCTCAGCACATTAGAGTTTGATGTCGGCTTCAATCACTCACGGTTTGCAGAAGTTAATGTAAACGTCAGAAGTAAGGGTAAAAGTACCAGTATGTACATTTGTTTAGTCTATTTTTAAGTCGACCAAACAATGTAGAGACTAAATCGTCATCAGTAGGGTTGTGAAAAATTTGATAGATGAAGGAAAACAAAACATCTGTTGTTAATAGAGTCAAGACCTGTATGCAATTTGTCGTATTAATTACCATCTTAGCCGTGGTACAAAAAGCCATGTTGTGGCTCCAGATTGTAGGGGAAAGATAATTTTGATTATCCAGTATAAAACTCCTCATGTTCATGCTTGTGCAAAATTAATTGTATTGAGAGATTACAAATGCCAAGATCCTAATTCTAATCTGTATATTTTACAAAGGGACTATATGCCCAACTCTACTAATTCCCGAACTTCAGCCAGCTCCTTTGTTTCCTATCTTTAGTTACTGGACAGACTGAAGGATCCAGATGAATCTGGTTACCAGTGATCATTCATGAACTTGACACCAAACTATTAACAATAGCACTCATTTATTTTAGGTGGTTCTTCTTTATACTGATGTTCCCAATGTTTTAAAGGAGAATTCCGGTTTTTAACACTTTTAGCCCATTTTCTGTAGTGTCCAGGATGAAATCGAATGATCGACACCAAAATTTTGACAATTGGTCCTG